CGGGGGCGGCCCGGGGCGGGGGGCGCGGGCCCCGCGGAGCCGCCCGGCCCCGGCCCCGCAAGATCCAGGTAGATCCGTCCGGCTTTTACCTTTCTCCTTCGGCTTCCCTGCGCGTAGGGCTTGGTAGCGGGGCTGTTTCCTGGTCTCGCAGAAAGAGGCAGTGCTGAGTTAGGAAGACAAAAATAGACCTTTACAGAGAAATATAGGGATTGTGTGCGCTGTGGGGAGGGAGAGCGGAGAGCGGCACCCGGCTGGTTTCCAGGAGGAGCCCTTTTCTCTCCCTCTCGTTGCATGTTAGGGATTTTTGCACAGATTTCTCCCCCCACCCCCTCCCCGCCGGGGCAGGGACACCTCTGCCGCCTGCTCGCCGCATCTCTGGTGGGGAGCGAACCAGCGAACTCCGCTGCGATCGGAAAGCGGCCAGAGACCATTTTATGTGAGCGAGCCGGGGGGGGGAAGAAGAGGAGAGAGACCGTCGCAGGGACACACACGGATATAAAGACTTGTCTTCTGCCTCCCTCCCCCCCCGCCCCTCTCCCCCTTGTAAATACTAAATCTGTGAAGGCAGCGATTTGACATCCACCCTAAGCGGCGGCTATGGGGTGTTTGGGCAACAGCAAAACGGAGGATCAGCGTATCGATGAGAAAGCGCAGCGAGAAGCCAACAAAAAAATAGAGAAGCAGTTGCAGAAAGAGAGGCTGGCTTATAAAGCGACACACCGCTTGCTGCTCCTGGGTAAGAAGGAAGGGGCAGAGGTGGGGGACGGGGAGAGGAGGGCGAGGAGGGGGCATCTGCCCCAGCCCACCGGGGCGGCAGGGCGAGCGGAGAGGGGAGATGCGGAGAGGGGAGATGCGGCGTGCGCCTTAGGTATGAAAAACGTAGGCTGTTGTATTGAGCAGTGAGCGAGGCGTCCACAGATCGAGCTCAGCGCCTGAGCCACATGGATGCACACATAGAGAAATGCTGCCGAGGTGGGAGATGCTGTCGCGTCCAAAAAAAGCCACAAAAAACCACTCCAACCCCCCCCAGCCTGAACCGTGTATCACAATGTTCTCCCTTCTTTCTCTTTTAGGGGCTGGTGAGTCAGGAAAAAGCACTATTGTGAAACAAATGCGAATCCTACATGTCAATGGATTTAATTCAGAGTAAGAATTATTGACACTTTGTGACTTATTTTTCCTTAAATGTTGGAAACAGGTTAACACACAGTAGGCTAGGAAATCTCTCATCCCCTGTGTTTTGGTGGCTTGACACTGCGTTTTGAGGGAGGGAGGCGAGTGAGAATAAGGAAATTGTTGCTATTGTATGTTTGCATTTTCTCCTTCTGGCCCCTTTACTGTATTTTACACTGTTGCTACTGCAGCGCTTGACAGGCCCCTGTGTAGCAACAACATGGCGACTACTTTTTACATAGAAGCAAATAACCAAATATTGCATCTGTCTGTAATATAAAAATACATGTCAAGTCATATTCAGGATGACAGTGTGTGCTGTTTTTCCGGTGTTGGGGTTAGTGTAAAACTGAAACTAATTTTGCATATTTGTTAGAAATCATCCTGTTTTGTGAGGCTACATCATTTTCTCTCTGAAGAAGTCTTTGCCAGAAATCATTATTAATCCACAGCATTAATTTTAGATATCTGTTTGCCTTCAACTACGTGTTGTTAATTTCAAGCATGTTTACAGCATGTTGTAGAAATGACAGAATGACTTCCAGTTCCATCAGGGGAGGCTTTGCAGATGTGTCCATGATTGTCTGTTTTTAAAAAATGTATCAGGGATGAATGTGCATTGCTCTTCATATTGTGCAAGAAAAGGGATAAGGGGAAAATGTATTTTTATTGCCTTTTTTTTTCTGTTAGTATGTTTTAATGATTGAAGAGCAGATAAACAAGCGATCAGTGAAAAAAATTAAATGCAACTGACTGAACTGCTTTGGAAGAAAAAATCAAAGTGTTAATATTTCTGTTTTAATGCAGAGAAAAGAAACAGAAAATACTGGATATTCGGAAAAATGTTAAAGATGCGATTGTGGTAAGAACACACTTTATACTGTTCTTAAATGCTTGGTTTTGCTGGAAATGAGAAGGATTGTGCTCTCCAAGATTGTGATGAGAGAAATCCCATTTTGCTGATCAGATTGGATTATCTTCTATTGATCCTGTATCCTGCGTTTATCCAGATTAATGTGTTTGTTTTTTTGTTTTATCCAATTCTAGACTATAGTTTCAGCAATGAGCACTTTAATACCCCCAGTTCCATTGGCCAACCCAGAAAACCAATTTCGAATGGACTACATCAAGAGTATAGCTCCTCTTTCTGACTTTGACTATACACAGGTAAGAATACAAACCACTCATTTATTCTACTTCAAGGGGGAACATGTTGCTTCACTTTGATTTACCGAAACATTGGGGTTTTTTACTTTTTGGAAGATGGTCATGGGAAGACCTTATGCCAGCATCACCTCTGGTTAACTTTCTTACAAGACTGTGGTGGTTGCACCTGTTTTAGTGGTGCAGGGTTTTATTGTTATGGATTTATTTGCTGCTGTTTGGAAATGCTGCTGTTTCTGCATTTAGTTCTCTGCAAATTTTCTGATGCAATCATACATATTGACACATCAAATAAGACTTTGTTGAAAGCTGATTTCCTACATGGAATTAGATGCAGGATGTTAGCCTGAGGAGTCACTGTCTACCTACAGAAAAGGATATAAAAGGAAATAAAAGGCACAAGTAGCCTCAGTGTTGTTTCCCAGATTTACTGCATTTCAGAATGGAAGTTCTCATAAGCAGTGGTCAAGTAAGGTGGTGGTTTGCTTCCTCGTGTACTGTAGTTGGCATGAGCAGTGATTTGCTCGTATGTAAACGTTGCCTTCTTTTGATATGGAATCATTTGAAAATTAAGGATTTCTGTATGGAAGCTACTCTTTTGTAGACAAATGAGAGATACTTTTCAGGTTAACTTGCATAAGTATCTTATGTTAAATTATTATTATCTTTTTATGTTATTATTTATAGGAACATGCATAGAATGATTCATGTTTTATGCTTTATATGAAAGCAAGTGCACAGACACTCTGAATTTTATTTTTGCAGTAGCACAATTTTTAATTTGCCTTAAAATGATACTGAAAGCAATTTGTTATGGATACAGTAAGGACTTAAAAAAATCTTCATTCATTGGCTAAATGATTGTGAGTTGTACATGCTATCAATATTACCAGAGAAGGCATTTACAAGAGAGTGTCTTTAGGTTATTATAGCTTCAGGGTGGAAGGGGGAGAAGGGAAAGAGTCGTTTCTTTATTATATGACTCATATTCTCTGATGTGTGATTTTGCCTCTGGTAAACCTACCACTTTGAAGGTTCAAGATAAAGAAAAATTATCAGACATCTTGTACAGCTAGAATTTAACACAGAATGCAGATGTTAAGAAAACGACTGCAAGGTACACCCACATATTGCATAATTGCTCAATTGGTGGATGCAAGTTAGTGAAAATGAGAAACTCTTTTTAGAAATGGAATGTGAGCTTGACATGAAGTATTTGTCTTAGGCAGGTATTAAAGTTCTGAGGCATTTGTTGCTCATTTTATGTGGATTTTTTTTTTGCTTTAATTTTGACCCTTAGATGTTTGAGTAAAATCAATGGTGGCATATATGCTTTGCAGTTCTCTATAGTACATCTGTTATTTTGAGTTTCTGGGATAAAAGAGAGCTAAACTGGACTTTCCATAGGGCTGGAGATATTTTTTATTTTTATTGTTTGCAAATTTTCTCCTTTTTCACAGAAGCTGACTATATCTGGTCAAATTTGACTCACTGTTTGATATTTTTTTACAGAGGAAAATTTAACCTTCTTGGAGGGGGAAAGAATAGGACCCAGTGGACTTTGAAACAATCAATAATTCATTTGAAATCTTGATTCAAAGTCCATTTTGGTTTATAGTAAAAATATTAATGTGTTTTTTAATTAAGTAGGTTTTCTGAAAATACCATCATATTATTTGAAATAGTGTCAATTACTACTCCTAATTAAAAAAATTAAGAAGTTGTAGCAAGTTCAAAAAAAGAAATCTGGTGCTGGTTTAGAAGTAAATATATTTCTGTGTCACTTTTATATTTTCCCTCTTGCTTTCTTATCAGCTCAATTCATAGGTTTAATATTTGTAAAATGTAAAGTATGCCTTTTTTAGATTCTTTGGTTTGGCTTGCTTTTTTTAAATTTTTCTATGTTTAGTATGTTATTTATCTCCAGGAAGATTTGTGAGCAAGACAGATTGAAAAAAAAAAAGTGCTATTGTGCTTCAGGGCTTGATTCTACTCCAGTTTAAGTCAATGATAAAGTAAAATTAGGTTTCCAGCTGAAATAACTTTTGACCCATTTAGTATTTTTGGGTAAGGAGAAATATAAAAATAAATACTTGGGTAGTAATCAGTTAGGCATCCTTTGCTAAGCATTACTGATTCCATAATTAATAGCTGAGGTATGGAATAAGGCCTTCTGAGCTCAAAAACCAACACAGTATTTAACAGTAGACATTCAAGGTCTAATCATCCTTACTTAAAAACAGTTGTAAAGGAAGAAATGGCGACTTAGGCAACTCTGGGGTAAATTTTGACACATTCTGAAATGTGACAAAGGTTACCCTTCTTTCTTTGAATGAGGGCAGAGGCAGTTTTAGGGTTTTTAACAATATTGATGGTGATGAGCTGTTAAAGACACTTAGTGTTGCAATATGAATTACGGATGTGTTATTATTGGATGATATTAGCCATGTAATATATGTCATAAAAGTCAACGTGTGTTAGCTGAAGATACATTTCAGATACATTGCATGCCAAATGTGGGAAAATGACTGCACCTTATCATGAGTCTTGAAAGAGAGGCAATGCAAAAACTTCACTGATGGCACAATAGAACCAACATTCATGGGGTGCTAATTTAAATATATTTGTGACATACAGATGTGCTTGGACAGACATTCTTAAACTGCATACAAATCAACTAATATACATTTACGTGCTAATTAAAATAGGTGGGTATGAAAATACTGATTTTCTATGGATGAAATCATACTCTTAACTGCAATTTATGGCTGAAATTCTGAGAATTTTGAGTAAAGATGGGGGTTTCACATTTAGACTCTGATAGTTATTTAGGGTTTCTGGTTGTCCGTTTTCTTCATTCCTTAACTTGCTACAAAATGTAAGCAGAACACTTTATTTAGTAGTGATACAAATTTTAAGACAAATAGTTTTCTCTTTACAGCCTTCTGACATTACTTTAAGAGTCTGCAGAGTGCCCCCTACAATAGTTTTACTTACTTTCTAAAAATTATTCTTTAGTTTGGTTTAGTTATGCTACCTTGAAGATTCATTTATTTGATATAAAACAAAACTTTCTTGATTTCTCTTATAGTTTTTATGTTGTCTTTCTTTACTTTTATGAAAGACTGTACAATTTTTACAAAATATTCCCTGGGTGACTGATGGGGTCCAGTTCTATAAATCATAAGGGCTAGAGTTTTTACAAAGTTAATAAATATAAATAAGTCAAATGTTCGCTGTATTTTCTTCCTTTATGTTATGAAAGGAATCAAGTTAAATTTTATCTGACTAGTTTAGGCATTATTAGCTCCATAGTCCAGTGTAGAAACAGCAGAAGGGCTTTAACACTGAAACTGAAACATGTGCTCTATCAAAAAGGATTTTTTTTATTATTTTTGGCAAAGTGTTGATTGATATTTGCTAAAGTTAACAGGAATTGAACTGCTCCAATCTTAATCCTTTATTGATGGGGATTTGTTTTGTCCTTTGTGAATCAGAGGGAACATATTAAGGCCATATTATGCTGGCTGTGGAAAAACATGGTGTATTATGTAAGGGTGTGTTTACTCAAGTTCATTTGTTTCTATTGAAGTATTTGAATTTTGTGGGCACCACAAAGCTGCTCAGTATATAATTCCTTTACCCTTTGTCTTCTCCAAAAATGTAGCCCAATTAAGTTGCTTTGCACAACTTGTGTCTTGGATCAAGCTCATCTGATGAGTTGTGTGTAGGAAAAAAGCAGGGAATCGTTACCTGCCACTGGGCTGTACAGCCAAGTGTTTGGCATATGAACCAGTTACCGGTGAATGTGAATCACCTGCTTAAGAGAGAACATACAAACACTTCACCCGGGTCTTAGGGAATGGGGAGAGTTTTCACAAGATTGGTTTTCCTTTGCAGAGAATGTTTTAGAGAGGCAAAACTTGAACCTTCATAAAATAGTAAACTGTGTGGATATAGCCCCTTGTGCGGATTTTGGTATGTGAGTTTCAAATATAATTTTTACAGCTGTTTTATTAGTCAGGCAAGCTCTTTAATTTAGCTCTTAAGAATGAAATGTTGATGTGGGCATTGACAGTACTTTAGATTAATCAGGTCTGTGTTTTGCTTTACATGTTGAGATATTACAGTTTGAGTTCGATTTGAGGACTTTAATTTTCCTTCACGCTTTCTTCTTAAAAATTAGGACTTTGTATTCATAATATAACGACACAAGAAAGAAACAAAAATACTTTTGGTCAGAATTTGAAGTTACATGTATTTTTTTTCAAATTTTTTATGAGAGCTGGTATTCAAATTCAAACTCTTGTTGATGCCTGGTGATCTCTGGTTTTCACAGTGTGTGTCTCAGTGTTTGAAGGAACTGCAAATCTTGATCAAGTGAAGTGTATTGTTGGGCTGTAGAAAATCTTTATCCTGGATAAATAATTAAATAAAATATTAAAAACACGATAAGTATGGTTCATATATGGTTAAACTTGCTTGGGTTGTGAAGTTAATCCTGTGACTTTAGTATCCAATTTGTCTGCAGATTGTTTTAAGTGTCCCTTTAATATGTACTTGATGTATCCCAAAGGAGTTACAAAATAGCATCATCTCACATTTTTTGGTTTTCAAATAACTCACAATATTTCCATCTTTCTTGTGAGTGTGAAAATATAAAATGTTTAACATGAAAATGCCATAAAATAAAAGAGAGAATACAGTGAGCATTGCAACTCAAATGGCTTCGCTTGATTTTTCTTTCTATGTATATTTTTACTCTAAGGCTTTGTTTACCATTTTGGGCAGAATGAACACAAGTTTTTATAACTACCTCTGACAGCAATACTTAACATTACTACGGCATGAGTCAATATTAACTTTTTAAAATCAATTAGACTTTTAAAAATTAAGTAAGTAATTTGCGGGGTTTTGTAATCTAAGATGCACACTGGTAGTTTTTCATATTTACACAAACACATCTTTTCCTCTTTAAACAAACACAAAGTATCACCAGGTAA